CTTATGTGACAGCAGTTACAGAACTGGACCAAGCAGGTTAAATCATTTCTAAGGGCAGAGCCAGCAGGTGGCACAGTGGTTAAAGGTGCTGAACTCCCACATGGCTGACTACAGTTCAAGTCCTGGACCTGGCAGCTTGCTTTCTCACTTTCCCTCTCTCTTTGTCTCTCACTCTGTCCATCTCTGGTCAAATTAAAATAAATAAATAAAGTTAAATAAAATAATTCTTTAAAAAAATAATTTTTTTAAAAATAGAGGAGAAAAGCCAATTAGGAGAGGGTGGGGCCTTTAACTACCACGCCACATGCCAATCCCTAACCTCTTTTTATTTTGTAATTTTACCAGAAAAAGATGGAGGGAGAGAGAGTGGGAAAAGAGAGATAGAGGGAGAGAGACAGTGGGAAAGTGAGAAAGCAAGCTGCCAGGTCCAAGACCCAAACCACAGTCAGCCTTATGGGAGTTCAGCACCCCAACTACCTGCCAGCCCTTAAGCATGTTTTTGTTGTTTTTCGAGATTTTTGCTGTAGGGTATAACAGGTATGATGGGACTCCATTCTCCTCTCAGGATTTTGGACACACATCCACACGTGCCTGGTGCACTCCCCCCCCCTTTTATTTTCTATAAGTTTTTGCCTTAGGGTGCTGTGTCCACAGAGAGACAGGGGCAGAGACAGTGAGAAGGAAAGTGAGAAATCACTTTTGGCCTTTGAACCATGTAGACCAGATGGCCAAGGCTAAACATTCCCACCCTCTTGCCCTTTCCAAGAATAGAACTCGTGATGGGCCACACTGCAATCCCTTATTCTCCATTCTCTTCCTGGGATCTTGGGCACACATGCACACACACTGAGCATTGAGTTTCAAGCCACTGAGTCTGGGACTCGAACTGTGGTCAGCCACGTAGAAGCGAGTCCAGTGATGTAACCGTTACACCATCTATTGGCCCAACCTGGCATGTTTTTCAAGCCATTGGTTTGGCACTCAAACCACACAGTCAGCCACGTGGGATCCAGCCACCTTAACCACCATGCCACCAGCTGCTTCCCTCTTCTCACCTTTTTTTTTTTCTATACCACCTACTGGCCCCTGAAGTGTGATTTTTATTGAACACCTACTATATGCCATTTATTGAGACATGCTGGTGGGACCAGCAGTTGGCATAATGGCTATGTCACTGGACTCCCATGTAGTCGACTGTAGTTTAAGTCCTGGACCCGGTGGCTTAAACTCACGGGCGCGTGTGCATGCATGCCCAGGATCCCGAGAGAATGGAGGAGAAGGGATTGTGGCGTGGCCATCCCCCCGTCTCTCTGTCTCTCTCTATTTTTCTGGCCAGCCCATGAGCCCTATAGCAAAAACTTCTCAAAAAAAAAAAAAAAGACATGCTGGTGAGATTTTTTTTATTTCTAAAAGCCAAGGGAAAAAAAATCCACTTAGAACCAGCAGTTAGCGTTAGCGTAATGACTTACTGGACTCCCACATAGTCGACCAC